TGTTCTTCCTATTCAGAGAAAATTTGATTCAGTATATATTTCACTAACAAATTACCAGTTTTAGCACTACTGATTTTTTTGTATCTAGGCCAGGTTACATGTACATGTACATGCAGAAAATGCAGTTAAATTAAGAAATTGTCATGGTTCAATGACCTTTTTTTTATCAGTAAAATCCAGTAAATTTAATTTTAGGATTAGAATATAGGAGCATGCAGGAGCTGACAATCAGGAGGTCACCAGAGCACTGCCTAGAATCCAACATTTGAGTCTGTTCAAATACATGAATTTTCTTTACACTGTAAATTAGTTCAATGTGGCTGCCATTAGAAGACTGAAGTTCAATTCCCATAGAAGGAAACATGTACACAATATAAAAACCCACCATGTACATGCATGTGTACTAATGTGAACAAAAATGTTCCATAGCAAATCTGAGAAATGGATAAACGATAAATGTTTTAAAAGAATGATTTTTGGTATTTTTTGGAAACAGGATTGCCCAGTCACTGTCAGTAAAAAGTATATAAAATAAAAACATAAATCGATATGCATAGGTAGACCATCATGAATCGTCTTTGTACTAACTTTGTACAAAATCAGTCAAGACAGATCTCAGAATTCATGTTGGGCGAACAAAGTGCAAACTGATGGGATGGATGGAAGCCAAAAGTTAAACAAATGTCCAAAAAAGACTATAAATTACCATATACATTGTACATAAAAATGACAAAAGTTGGTGTTCATAAATACTTAAAATTACAAGAGTTTACTTTTGAAATCTATATTACAAAATAATCTAGAAGCAAAATCGGTGACAGTTGTACCTTTATCATTAATTTTCTCAATTCTGACTAATTTATGTTGCAAAATCCCATGTGATGCATGAAATCAAACAGAAAAACAGGAAGAACAAGGAAGGTTGTAGCATTGTATTTGCCTCGAAACATAACAAGATTCCAAGAGCTTGGAAACATTGGGAGGGGGGGGGGGCATTTCTACGCTTAATAATGTACTATACATATTTGATGATGGTCAATTGCGATAAAGTAAATGTATCTGAATGCCACATTCCCCTCTGAAAGATAATAACTATAATAAAAAAGAATTTCATGTTCAAAATCAAATATTTAGATTTTTTGGACAGACATTTGATCTAGACATCTTGTGCATTTCACATAATCTCACAAAGAACAGAAAATCACCTATATATACCACTTTGAAAAGATTTTAATAGGATAACTCATTTATGTATTCAGAATCCCATTTCTATTTTGCCCATTTTCTCATTCATAAAATGTACATTTGGTATTAATCTTGGTTTAAAATATAATAAATGTTAGTAAATAAAAAGAAAAATGCAAATTACTACAAAAATGCATGTAAAATTATATTCCTGTAATTGTGTTTTGTTTGGTAAAAGCCACCTGAAAATAATTTTTAATCACAAAAGGTACTAAGCTAATCCAAGTTATCTGCATGTGGGGAATACAGATAATAAAATTTACCTGCCTGTGTCCCTGAACTGGTAGTCTCTCATCAGTCTACTCATTGTTTCCAACATTCGACTGTATTATTACAAATTCAATTTATTGCACGAGTTACACAATGCAGTACACTCACAATAGCCTATTATGGTCAACTTTACAACTTGATTGGAGGTTTTGATACTAAATTTCAGCTAAACATTTTCAGGGGTTGTCCATTCAAAATACATAATACTATGAGGATTACCACACTATTGTTGTAGGAAATTCCTGAAATTTGAGTGTTTGAAAATACAAAGGCAAGAATTATGGTACATGTATGTAAAATAGTTTTTAAATTATGAAACTCAGGTCAATGATGTTTTCCAATTCTCAACAACTAATATGAAATATGAATATGGGAAATCACAAAGGCACTATTTCTATAGAAAAGAGAGCAGGTACTACTGTAAAATCTGTATTAAAAGCCGCAACCCTAATAGAAGTCGCACCCATTCTTTTTGAATAATTGAGAATAAAAAATTCATCATTTCTCGTATGTGTAGATGCTCTAATAGAAGCCGAATCTCCTCTGTTGCATTGTATCATTTTAATAGAAGCTGCGGCTTCTAATACAGATTTTACAGTACCTTCTTGTTTTGAACTTATTTATATTTTTTACTTTCCACTTGGCAAAATACAATCAAATTGTAGTAGTTTACATTTACTGAAAACATTAAGAATGTTATCAACCTTTCCTGGTTGAGGTTTTCTTTTGCTTACACTATTTACAGAAAATTTTAGCCTCAAATGTAGGTATATTATATTACAAAAAATTACAGAAAACGTGAAAATTTAATGTATCACTGCAGTTTTCATACACTGAAATGTGCAGAGGCAGAGTTGACAGACATTTTGTTCCCCATACAGTGGAGATTAGTACCCTAAAATGTATATATTAATAATAATATAATATAATATTATTGAAGAAGGCAATTTTTATTAAAATTTCATTCAACTTTTCTATAATGTTTTTATTTCCTTACATTTTGTAACATGGTTTGACTCATAAAAGTAAAATTCTGATAAAAAAATATGAACCATGAAGCAAATGTCTTGTGTTTGTCAACAGCACTGAATTTACTGGCCATAGTACATGACCAAAATGTACACTAGTTTAGAAAGCAAGCGAAAATCAAAAAACATTAATAAACTTTGACACTTATAAGCTGATTATCACTAAAATCAACATTTTCCAAAACTAATACAGGCACATGCATCCATATATGGCAAGCAGTGAATTGATACAGAATTAAGTCATGCGCCATATGGAAATTAATCCGTGATGAAATGTATTCTTGTATGAAAGTAATAAAAATACTAGTACCTCACTCAAATTCAGAAGTGGGAGTTACAGTAACAGTTGAATGACTCCTAAAATGCCACTGTGGTGAAAACCATGAACAAGGCAATTCCAGGAAATGGGATAATTATATTCTAAGGAAATCCACAGTTCATCAATAAAAGACATTATAATCATTATCTGAGTGCACAATATATGGTCAACATGTAATCATATAACAGACTTTTGATCAAATGATAATAGTAGTTATACATTTCCACACATATGCCAGTTTTCGGTAAAATTAGAGTTCACACTTTCACAAATATCGGCAGATGTTACACTCGGTCGTACATTGACAGCGACTTCCTGTTATACGTATCTCCCTTTCACACTAAATATGACGAATCTGCTATAATTTCTGAACCGAACAAATAAAACTTCAACAGCTAATATTACATAAAATATGGTGATACAATTTCCTTTAGAAAATGATATTAAACAGATACGGAATCAGCTGGTTTTATCGGGGTTTATGCGAACATTCGTATGACTCTTTCGACCAGATGGGAAAGATAAGGTAGACAAAAGGGTTGTCGAAATTAATTTTATATCATGTCTGCAGTTAACCCTTAGGTAACAAAATTTACTTATCATTGGGACCAAGGTGGATAGTTATTATCAACGAAAAAAAAATGAATCATAATACATTCATTCATAATCAGCCCTCTCTACGCCGAAATGAGTCAATGGTCGATAGACTGACAAACGCAAACGTAGATTACACGTAGATTGGTTAGACTCCACAAGAAAAAGTACACAATGTAAACTCGCACAAATTTCAGAGATGGTCGGACACGACTTCGTGTTATGAATTAACCTACTAATATACTAACCTTATTTGTCTGAACTCCCCGAAGACGTTTAAAAATCGCCTGGATATCGGTCTTCGTTGGCTCGGCCATTTTGAGAAAGTTGCCAGTGACGTCAGCATAGTGTCACGTGATATATTGGTTCGACGTGTACATGTTTACGTGTTTTTTTGTTAACAGACTGAAAAGTGGAATTTATTAACAACAATTGGCTTGAAGCAATAATGCATATACATCTTTTCAAAATTAAAGATATGATACGTCATAATGGATTTAATTGAACAACAGTTTTACGGGTAAACAAAAATCAAATCGCGAACACTCCCTCTCCAGTTTGACCCAATAATTATTTCGTTTACAGATGTACCCAGAATACACCTCTAAATACTTCCGGTATCACTCGAGAGAACATGTGTTTATGGAATACGTACGGCTATCTGTTTTAATTAATATAGTAATTTTATAATGGTATAATTAACGTTTAAAGTTATTAAGCTAGGTAGGTCTGCAGACTGTTTACCAAAAATTACAAAAATATTCATCAAAATTAGAAAATCACCTATTATCTAGCATTTCAATATAGATTTTCGACAGACGTTTTTTTTCTGGCAGAGGTGAGATTAACAGATTTACATTATTTATCGCTTGTACGTATGTAATATAATTTTACAGTTTGTTTCATTGGCTCTTTCTGTTTGTGTTGTAGACCTGTAGTTACATCACGCTTTTCGTATAATAAACGAGGATAATTTTGTATTGAAATTAGTTCATAACAATCTTGCAACAACATGAAAACAATTGTCTCCTCCATCGCTTGGGTCAGGAGAGGAGTTGCCAAGGAAACGCCTGACAAGGTAGAACTGAGTAAAGAACAGTTGGAAAAACTCATACAAGAAACAAAAGGGCAGTTAGATGATGCAGAGTCTGGTGAGGAAGATTCGCATGATGATGGAGCTGTGGAGAATAAAGCAGATGATAATCAAGATGAACTTGCAGAATATGATTTAGATAACTATGACGATGATGACACTGAGATGGGTAAAGGAATAGGTCATATTAAATGTATTCGCATTTTAGAATTCCCTGTAATTAATTAGTGTATTTCAAAATCTATTATATTTTCTCATGGATCAGTGCTGTGTTTTTATATACAGGCGCTGATGGTGTGAGTTTACCTGATGCGTTGGCGTCGTTATCCATGTATGCAGATGAGGCAGATGATCCATACATTACATCAAAGAAGAGGCAAGTACAATCTTAATAGTTGTGTCTTCTACCATAAATCAATCATGAATACTTCTGAAATTCACCTTATACTCATAACTCTATCTACCCCAAGCAAAATATTCTTAGACATTCATTGACTCAGTAATCTGATTCATTGACTGATGCTTTTTAATGACTGACACAATTGCTGGTGAAGTCCATTGTCTGATTTGATTCAATAGCTGGTGGGGTTCAACAACTGATACATTGTATGATTTGAATAATTGACTGGCAATATTTAATTACTGATTTAGTTTCATTTATTGAATGATAAAATTCATGTATTGGTGATATTCAATGACTGACATAGTTTGACTCAGTGATTCATTGAATTTCGTGATATGATTAATTGATTAATGTGATTTATTGACCAATTCAATTTCATCTTGAAGAAAATCACTTTATATTTGATAGGATGAAGACGAAGCTGAAGATTTTCACATAAAACCCACAGACAATCTTGTACTTGTCGGTAAAGCGGAAGAAGAGTGCAGTAATTTAGAAGTTTATGGTAAGTATTACATTAGTGTTTACTATTAGTATTACATTAGTGTTTACTATTAGTATTACATTAGTGTATCAGTGTTTACTATTAGTATTACACAGGTGTATCATTGTTTACTATTAGTATTACATTGGTGTATCAGTGTTCACTATTAGTATTACATTAGTGTGTCAGTGTTTACTATTAGTATAACATTGGTGTATCAGCGTTTACTATTAGTATTACACAGGTGTATCAGTGTTTACTATTAGTATTACATTAGTGTATCAGTGTTTACTATTAGTATTACAGTGGTGTATCAGTGTTTACTATTCATACAACATTGGTGTATCAGTGTTCACTATTAGTATTACATTGGTGTATCAGTGTTTACTATTAGTATTACACCGGTGTATCAGTGTTTACTATTAGTATTACATTGGTGTATCAGTGTTTACTATTAGTATAACATTGGTGTATCAGTGTTTACTATTAGTATTATACAGGTGTATCAGTGTTTACTATTAGTATTACATTGGTGTATCAGTGTTTACTATTAGTATTACATTGGTGTATCAGTGTTTACTATTAGTATTACACAGGTGTATCAGTGTTTACTATTAGTATTACATCAGTGTTTACTATTAGTATTACATTGGTGTATCAGTGTTTACTATTAGTATTACATTGGTGTATCAGTGTTTACTATTAGTATTACACAGGTGTATCAGTGTTTATTATTAGTATTACATTGGTGTATCAGTGTTTACTATTAGTATTACATTGGTGTATCAGTGTTTACTATTAGTATAACATTGGTGTATCAGTGTTTACTATTAGTATTACACAGGTGTATCAGTGTTTACTATTAGTATTACATTGGTGTATCAGTGTTTACTATTAGTATTACAGTGGTGTATCAGTGTTTACTATTAGTATAACATTGGTGTATCAGT